CTCCAGAGTCAACCATTTTGAATAATATTGCATGAGTTCCTTGTTTTTTAATGCAGCATAGTATTCCATTGTGCGAATATACCACAGCTTCTCTAGCAAAGAAGAGAAAAGAATTTTAGTTTTCTGATGTTTTATTTTCTCTTGGGTCTCACTCTCTGGAATGTCTAGTAGGCAGATAAAAAGAGCACAAAAATTTTTTTCCCTTAGAAAATTCAGACTCTTGTTCAAGTCCATTGGTCATTCAAAAAGCAAAGAAGCTTCCTTAAATTTGTATTAAATACACACTTTGAAACTGCAACTATAATAATCACTTGGGGTTTTGATGAATATCTAATGATTCTTTGAAATTAAAATATGTGGATTAGTTAAGTGTATTTAAATCCCATAGGCCTGCTTGAACACACATCTGCTACTATGTGTTCTCTGCTTCTCCAAATCTTTAAAGAGAAAATTCCCTGAGCTATTAATAGTAAATGGCTATTAATAGTAAATCAGCATGTTAATAGCAACAGAAGGAAAGTTGGTAATTGATACAAATATTTCCATTTTCTTTAATACAATACCTTTTATTATTTGTTAGTAACTAAGGTTTGGGTACTTACTAGAGAGCACTTTTATTTGGTTTTGCTCAACCGAAATAAGGCATACAATTCAACTTTTGACTTGCCTTTTGACATTCTGACTGTCTCTATTTTATCTTGGTGTTCTCTACTACTATTACTCACGTAGCTTTGCCAGTATCTTTATGTTCCTAAATTTAAAATTAATAAAATAATGCCAAGCTTTTTATAAAAGGATATACACTAACTGACTGAATAGGAATTCATGTGGTAATCCTATTCTTGGGATAGATGTGTGGGTTAAATCCTAGGAGAAAAGGCATCCTTTTCTGAAAGCTAAAATTTGGTTTAAGTATTCATTCTCCTTTGGTAGATGTATGTTTTATGAGCCCTAGTTTTCCTGTCCTTGAAAATACAAGTTCATATCTAGTTCCTAGAAGTGTTGCACCTAGTTAAGTACCCTCATTAAAAATTACGCTATCTTTATATTTGAACCTAATGTTTGTATTTTCCATGGAGCTCTGCTTTGTGGAAGCAATGGGTATGTGGTTTGAATCCACTAGGTGCTCCAAAGAAGCAAGATGGACATTGCTTCCATGTGATTTATAGCCTCTGATAATCTGTTTGAGGGTCACCTATGCATCGGTTCCAACCTGACAGTACACAGCAACAACAACATGACAACCTCAAATTAGATGAACTTCTCTTTTTAGGGGGTGTTTTCTTTTTTAATTTTCTTTAATAATTTTTTATAATATAGTATTTTTCATGTTATTGTATTTTCACATATGATTCTTCCATCTACCCATCTCCTGACATGTACTAAATGTTTTTTGTCTAAGTGGGTTTACTTTTTCTAGATACCTCATAGAAATGGGATTGTTTGTCCTTTGTTTCTGACTTCTTTCGCTAACTTTGATGTTTTCAACTTCTATTCCTATTGCTTCTTGTAACAGGATTACTTTTCTCCTAATGGTTGAATAATACTCCATTGTATGGTTATTCCACATTTTGCATATCATCTCCTGATGAACTCAGATTATTTCCTTTTGACTATTGTGAATAGTGCTTAAATGAACAATAGTGTATATGTATCTGTTTGAGTTTGTACTTTTCCAGTCTCTTAGGTATGTCACTATGAAACTGCTGGGTCATGTGGTAATTCTGCTTGGCTTTTTAAAGAACTTCCATATTTCTACAGCTGCTACATCATTTTTTTTTCCATCAGAAGTGTTCCAACTATTCCACAAATTCTTTGACTCTGATATTTGCATTCTCCAATAACTAATATGTGGATGACTTGTCTCAGTGATTTTAATTTAAATTTCCTTTGGAACTTCTCAGAATTTCAAAAGAGAAGAGCAGAATTTCGTGGTGCAGAATGAAATCAACAATATGTCTTTCCTTATTACTGATACCAAGTCAAAGATGTCAAAGGTATGACTATAATCTGTTTAACTCTTGTGGAGAATGTATGAATTTAACTTTTATTGGTTGGCATTTTTTTTATTTTGGGGTAGTTATATTAGGAATTTGATAAGTTTGGTAACCTCTATTTGATTATTTTTCATGTACACAAACTCCAAAAATTACCAGTCAGTATAGTATGTTTATAACTAATCAATGTTATAAACTCATGAGGAGTAAATGTATATGAACTTATGTATGGCATAATGACAACATATATATATCAAGTACAGTGATAACAGTTTAATTTACTTTACTGTAAATGTAAGGTTGCCGAGGAGAGACAGAACCTACTTCAGGCCAAAAAAAGTTTATTGAGGAAAAAACATTCCAAAGTAGAGATTCTAAAGTAGAGACCAGCAGCTACTTAAAGTTAGAGTGTTTTACACTTGTTTTACAAGGAAGTTGAGAGAAGGATGGTCACAGTTGTTTTGTTTGTTTGTTTTTTGTGAGGTTTTTTAATAAGATCAGGAAGTTGACCAAGGATTGCAGATAGTTATTCCTGGGAACTGCAGGTAGAAAAGTTTCACAGTTTTAAGAGAAATAAACAGATTTACAGCTACTGCTTCCTGTGGTTCATGTCAGTGGCTATTCTGGGAAAGGGAAGGAGAGCAGCTCTGCAACCCTAACATTCCAGCCTTTTGTTATATGATTGGGAGTGTTGTGGTTCTCTTCTGTAACTATCTCATGCAGGATGGGCAATGATCTAAAAGAGGGGAAGAAAGACTTGGTTTTAGGTAGTGGAGTTGGCAGATGTGATGATGGAGGTTAATGGTACTCAGAAACAAGGCGTTCACAGACTGTGTGGTTGGTAAGAGCACTCATCTGCTCCTGTAGAAAACTAGAGAGAAATCGCATAAGGCAAGGAACAAATATTAAGATTAAGAAAATTACTGTAAAAGGGCTGAGGAAGGCATGTGTGCAGATTCTAGTCCAGTTGGTCTGCAAGCGCTGGTAAGCTGAGTTGCCACAGATGAAGAATACCCCTGAAGTAGAGCATTGAATGTCATTATTTGACAAGGAAAGGATGTGATTAAAATCAGAGAAGGAAATATTGCTTACTGCTTTTATGCAGTAAATATTGTTTGCTAATTGACCTATGAGAGTTGTTTATTGGGGTTTGATGTGTTATTTTTTGAAGTATAATTAGATGGAAAGAGAGTGACTATGACTACAACCACAGTCTATTGTAGAGGTAAACAAAGTTAACAAGTTTTAGCTAGGGTTGGACTGGTATTATTTAGAGCTTAAAAGACGGTCTTTTAAAAGGTTTTGAGTCAATTGGCTGTATGTGTTTGTTTTGTTTGTTTTTTTAAATTGATGGATACTAGGCTTTGTGTACTTTTAGTTATTTAAACAGCTGGATATATACTTTTTAACTTAGGGGGTATATTGATTATTATAGGCATTGAGTTACTACCTTTTAGTACAATTTGAAATGTTTGAGTGAAAATAACTTTAGTAATTACTTTTGATAACAAGACTCTCTTTAATAAAAGTACAGGCATTTTAGATATAACTAGACATTGTTGGGAAAATAATACTCTATTTTATATACAGGAAAGTTTGATACTTATTTGAAGGTTCTTTTTTAGTGCTCACAATACTAAGATGGCAGGGGGAAAGGTTACTAAAAGATTGTAAATCTCTAAAATTAATATTTATAAGAAAGTGAATTATCTTACCAGTAATATTCATGCATACTTAAAGTTTCTCCAGGCAAATAGTGATGCTGTGTTGATCACTCATTGTGGCCTTGAGGGAGCAAGGGCCTCATTAGTCTAATTGCCTCTCTGCCACCAAGACACACTTGGGGATAGGTGTTTATGAGAACTTCATTGGAAATAAGTGGTCTGAGGCTTTTCTTCTGCTCCTTTATTCTCATGCAACATCTTTTGATATTGCTTATGTGATTGTGACTAGGCTTTTTATACTGGAAGCAAAAGCCTTGGTTTGGGATTTGGAGCACTTTTGCTAGATGAAAAGGGATGTGATAACAGTTTTAAGAAATTTGGTTTTTAGCTAACAAGAGTGGCATCCACTTCCTAAACAATATTTTTCTGGAAACTCTTTGATAAGTGACTACAGTTACAGAAAAGCTGCAGGCCTCTTGTTCCTAGGGTCACTATGAGTTGTGCTCAACTTGATAATAATCAACAATCTTTTTCTTTTCCAAGTTCTTATTATCTAACAGTGAAATAGAAGCAGTTTAAAATGAGTTTAAGTTACTTTGGTGGCCTAAAGATTTTTTTTTTAGATTTTCTTCTAATATCAGGGGCAAACTGGTAGAATGAGAATTTATTTAGTGGATTTTAAAAGTTGCAGAGTTTTTTAAAATTGGGAAAAATTTGTTTTAACTCTGGCTGAAAAAATAAGTTGCGTGGAAAATAAGGAAAAGAGAAACAAAAATAAGTTTGTTAAACTTATTTTAATAAAAGCAAAAAGTACATTTGTAGGCTTATCTTTTATAAACTTTTTGTTTCTTTATTGCTGCAACTCCCTGTAGGTCTAGTAGCTATTACTTGAGAGAGGGGACGGGTAGAGGAGATTTGAGGACTTGCCTGTGCGTTTTAATGTACTGGGGGTGGATGGTATGTTGGATTTGGGATCAGACGAGGAGGGAGGTGATTTTTTATTTGCAGATCAGTGTTGGGAAAGGAAGAGTGATATTTTATTCGCAGAATTTTCTTAAGATTCCCCTTTAACCAGGAGTTAGTTATGGGGAGCTAAAGGGCTAAGGAGGATGAGGAGAGAGAGAGAGATAAAGGGAGAGAGAGGTGGGGAGTGAAAAAGTTGGGCTGTGTTCCTGGCTGAGTCTGGTTTGGTGGGGCCTACTAGAAGAGAGTATGAAAGGTGAGAGGAGATGAAAAAGGGAAGGGCTTTGAGTCCTAGGTGGAAATTGAGAGGGCCTCCTGTGGTGAGGTGATATTTGCTTATAGCAGAGATGGGGAAAACAGAAGCCATAGGGGGTGCTGAGTGATTAGCGGGATCAAAGATGAAGGAGTTTTGATCTGGAAGGGGAGAGGGCTTAAAAAGATCTAAAAGAATTTTATGAGAATGGCAGTTTTTACAGAGAATAGGACAAAGAGTGGTGAGTAAAGAAGGTCAAAACAGGGGATTTCTGACAATCTGCTATTGCACTGGTGAAGGTTGTCAAAGTCTTTAAGAGTGTTGAACTCAAGTACCACATGTTAGAGCTACTGAGCCCTATTATTTAATGGACAATGTGGCCATGCCTTGTTCTTGCAATAAGAGAGCATCAAGGCAGTGGAGGAGACACCCCAGTGGAGTGTACTAAGAAGGGCAGGATTGGCTGGCTCCCTTGATTGGGGAGGGAGTTAAGTAGTGGGGCATCCCAGAAAGAAGGTCTGCTCATGATGTGGGCATCACCAGAATTGGGAGAGAGCAGCCAAGATAGCTAAGGCATCTACCTGGCCTTGCCCTAAGACTTTTAAAATCTGAAGAGTGCAAGAGACCTGAAAGTTGAGAATGGTCTGCCACTTAGCCCAAATTGGCCTGATGCTGTTTGGAAGATCAGCAATGACAAGAGGCAGAAAGACCAGGAGAAGAGAGATCTCTTCGCAGTTTAAAGAGGGACAGTCAGGAGACGGATCAAGTTTGTAGAGAAGTGAAAAGAATTAGGACAATATAGTACATCCCAAGTGTCTTTAGGCCAAGAGAGAGACACAAGTTACATAGAGGAGAGACAGAAGCCATTTTAATGGAATTTCCAGAGAATCTCAATATGGAGTCAACACAGAGCACTCACTGGCCTCCACTGAGTGTCTTAGTGAACTTGGGGGAAATCATAGTTTCTGTGAGTTAGGCTTGCAGGGAGGTAGAGAAAATGAGACTGGGAAAGCTTGGGAATCAGGGTTTGTTGCCTCCTTGCAAGTGTCCCTCCTTGGTTTTTGGCACCAGAACTGTAAGGTAACTGAGGAAGAAAGACAGTTTGTTGAGTAAAACTGCCGAGCTGACTCTAAAATAAAGAACAGCAGCTACTTAAAGTTAGAGTGGGGGTTTATATTGTTATACAAGGAAATTGGATGAGGGGTTGTTTGCAGTTGTTTTTTATAAGAGCTGATGGAGGATCATAGATAGTATTTCTGGGAAATGAAGTAGAACAGTTTCACAGCTTTAACAAAGATAAACAGAGTTACAACGTCTGCTTCCTTGAGGTTCATTTCAGTAGCTATTCTGGGAAAGGGAGAGAGAGCAGCTCCTTGTCCCTAACAGGAAGTAGATGAAATTCTTCCTCATGAGGTGAAAAAAAACATGTCTTCATAGTTCTGATCACATTTCGGATATAGGACAAGAAGGAGCCTTTCCTAAACATGTTTGTAAGCATTCTTTTAGCTTTTCAATTACTACTAAATTACATGTAACATATACATCACATCAAGTTGTTGTTGTTGTTGTTATGTGCCGTCGAGTCATTTGCGACTCATAGCGACCCTATGTACAACAGCCCTAAACCCTGACCTGTGCCAATCTTATTGCCACTGACGCACCCATCCCGATTACCCCAGTCACTGAATCAATCCA